TACAGGTAACTTATATTAACATGATATTCCATTTCCCTGGATGATACACAGTTATTCCCTTGTGTACAACGGTTTGTATCCTACTGATTTCCAATTCCTAACATGACTGCTCACGAGATTATATCGCAATTATCTCTGTATCAAAGTTTGATTGCTTCGAGTCCCACAATACAAAATTGTTGAATTTACATACTAGAAGCTTTCGGCTTTGGAGGTGGCACACCGTATCGCAATTTTATTGCGAAACCCCGGTATACATAGGTTAATAACGCTGCCACTGATCAAATAGCAACGGCTCCAATTTCGTGGTTAGCAAACGTGATTATATTCGCTCTTCTTCGATGGAATGTAAAAAGTTTGAGAACTCGGTTTCGCCGAACTCCTGACCGCTCGTTTCGGCATTTGGTATCCTAATAATTATTTTTTTCAAGTACCTGCACTCATAATAAGTGTGCTGTACGATAACTTGGAGAGTACAAAAACCGAGACCGAAATTTAGCATCCACATACAGAAATATAGATTAGTGAGATTAACCACACCAGGTTACTTTCTAATAAAAGTTTTATTTTAGTGAACAAGTAAAAACAGAAAGCAGACACGTTTTTCATTACCTATAACTAACAGCTAGATGGAATTTTGTGTCGTCTGATACATAGAGGAAAACAAAGAGAAATTGCGTCAATAAAAAACGTAATAAATTTTCATTAAAGCAATCATGGGAGATAACCTACCCTTACACATATAAACACAAGCAATTTATTATACAAAAAAGAACTCCTGATGGTCGAGTTTTTCTAATGTACCTAATGGCATACGCTTGTTCGATACACTAAATATATAATTATTAAAAACAACTCAACAAATTTTATCAAGTAATGACAGTATACAGAAAGTGTAATAAACCTATCAGTTGCTAACGGCTTACCAAATTGTTTTCTATTTTCTGGGGCTTTTTTGTTTTCTAAATTTCCTAAATTCTCTAAATTTTCGTATATTAGTAGACATACAAGATTGTTAAATTATGCATCATGCAATAAATGATTTAAATTAATAATACGTAGTCGACTATATCACTTGAAGTCAATAAAACATAGGCGAGATAGGTTGGTAGGACACCTTCTCAGGCACGAAGGTCTAGTCAGAGACATATTAGAGGCAGAAACAGGAGTTAAGAGGAACAGAGGTAGACGTAGATTTGATAATGATGTGGGGTGTTCTAGTTTTAGAAAAATGCGAAGATTAGCTCAAGGTAGGAAAGAGTGGAGGTGCGTATCCGATACCGAGCGGCATGGCCTAGAGGTCTAGACCAATGCTTAGCATTCGGGAGGACGCCGGTTCGATTCCGGGTCCGTCTGCCTTGGTCCAAGTTTTTCCGTGGTTTCCTTGGATCACTTAGGCAAATGCTGAGGCAGTAATATTCCACAGATAATCTTCCATTCTCTTCTGTCTTCATTTCGTCCGTCTCAACTTTCTCACCCGAACCACCACCCACCCATTCCCACTATTCCTGAAAGCAGGCTGAAGAGGGCCTTCCGCCCTACCATCCGGCATAGTCCGGAGGGACTGCCCGCCCACCAGCATCACTGGCTGGTGGGGATGAAACACCCAAAAGTTTTTTTTTTTTTTATCCGACCAGATATAGGACTGACGATCTTATGACGATGAAAGATTTAAGATACGTGTTATAAAAAAGTAGAGCGGGAAATTTGTTCTATTATAAGTGTGTATAGAGACAGTTTGTTTAAATTAGGGATAGGATTTATTTGATATTGTGGTTTCAAAAAGAGCTGCGTCCTAAACGATTCTATAAATACATGAATTTATCGGTCTGATGGGATTTGTTTTGCGCGGTAAAGATGAAAATTGTTTCCGCCGAATGTAACATCATGGACGGTTAAACACGCGCTATAGGAGACGAAACAAAAATGAGAATATCAAATAACATCCCGCAGTATATGCTTTAAACATTTCTCTGAATGTTGATTACCGGCAAAATTTCCGTTCCTAAGCCCCGATAAACAGTATATCGGACCTGGGAAAAAAATAGCTACCACTTTTTCTTTTTACAAGCGTTTTGTGTCTTAGTGTTCGCGTCAATTTGTTTCACTCCGCTGTACATAATAACAATAAATCTTACGAGCTTGTGTGGAATCAATTTGAGAAATATAAAGAAAGTCTAAAGGAATAAATAACCACTTATTGAATTCTCAACTGTCAAATTATATTATTATTTCCACTTAAGTGATTGAAAATTGAACGATGTCTACTTGGATCAAAAAAAAATAATTTTATTCTTCAATTTAGTTTCTCCTTTCGTATAATAAAGTACTAAAATAGTTTTGACCAGTTGCTTCTAGTTTTCTAGACTAGGAGTAGCCAACTTCACCATGTATAAGATATACTTTTTATCTTAAAAGTGTGTCGCGATCTATATATTGTCATAGACGTAGTCTAAGGGGAAAGAAAGGGGTGAAATGCATCCCATAGGAAAAATTTCCATTGAACTTCAATGGGAATCAATGGAAAATTTGTAAATTCCATTCAAAACCATTTGGCACAAATGGAAAAATAATTGTTTCCATTTACAATAATTCCATTAGTATTTACATGGGAAAAATTTCCATTGATTTTCAATGGAAAGCAATGCAAAATTTATAAATTCTATTTAAAACCATTAAATGGAAAAACAATTGAGTACCTAGAAAATGGAGAAGATCTAGTTGGAAATAGAATGGAAACTTTTCCTACGTTTATACATTGCGTTTTAGTATAAGGTGCATTCCAGCAAGATATGGGTAGATAAGTAATATCGATGATCAACCGGTCGATAGCGATCGATTTGTTGGCCAATCCTGCTCTAGACGATTTGAATCTTTAATTAACTGTTGTTATCAACAATCTTTAATTGCGATGCCATATAATCCTATCATTTATTAAATATAATTTAATTATCCGTTTTATATATCCTTAAAAACGAAGTATGAAAGTTTTTGGGAAGGTCAAACTTTCTTTCGGATCCAATATCACTTTCATCATGTTCTTTGAAGACAAGCTATTTGAAATTTCCAAAGCCTGCCCTCTTCAAATCAAACTAGCGAAATGGAAGTCCTGCGAGAAAAAACTTTGTCTTATAAATCAAAGATGCCCTTTTGGGTATTGCTTGTAGCTTCCAAGTACCAGTTGCCATACAATGCATTAGACTTTCTTAGAAATTTTTAGTAAACATCGCTATGTAAAGAACAAGTAAGACATAAACTGAAAAAAAAAGAAAGTACCTACCTATATACATTAAGAAAGGAAGGACAAGTTTGAGAATTCGTTACTGTTGCTTTAAAAGGGATACCGTTCGAATTTTGTGGTTATTCGGGATCGGAAATTGAACAACCTTCGTAAAACAATTCATTTACGAAGCAATCTTTCAAATTACGTTTGTCAAGTAATGATTCCACCAAGGTAAATACAAGTCAATTCAGTCAGTGAGTTATATAATCTACTAGTATAAAAGATCATACTTTTTATTGCATTGAGATACCTACGTGTAGTATGGGTCCCCAAAAATCAGCTACAACAAAACTGAAGGGCATGAAAAAGCATTCTTCGGTTAATACATTTAATATTAAAAAAGAAATTGGAAAAAAGTTAATATACATAAAAAGGTATAGTATCGACCGAGCGCAGAAACCAGGCCCACCTGCGTGACAGCCACGCACAGATACCATTGGGCCATTTCCGTTTGTTCATAATTGTAAGAATCAGAGAACGACTGGAGCGCAAATTCCCGATTTTGGACGGAATTTACCGCAGTTAATGAATAAATCCGCTGTGCTTAGGTAAACGATTAAAATAACGGCGGATTTTAAACGTAATTAGCAACATACAGTTCTTATAACAAATATTTCCGCCGTCAGATGTTCAGCTACTTCCTTAATTGAATCGTTAATTGTAATTAATAAACTATTTTCTATTGTTTTCTATTTTTAGCTGAAAATTTCCAAGTTTGATTTATCGATCGTAAGGGTAGACAAGCGAACTACAACTTTCTCTGTTAAGAAACATTTTCGGTCACCCCTTTTGTAAAGTAAAGTTTTCGTCAAAGTTTTGGGTGCCATATGTTTGGAATTTAAATAATGTTAGGCATATTTTCAACAAGTAGGGGAAGAGAGTGGAAAATGGTAGGACGTTGATGAGGGAAATTTTCTTTATAAGTTAGCCACCGTTATACTGCAATTAGTATTTGTCAAAATAAATTATTATTTACCCCGGTCTTCAGCTGCTTCTTGTACCTAATTCCTTTAATAAAATTTGGAAGACAACATCTAATAAAAATCTTATACTTATATAAAGGTCTTTTATTCACAAACAAATAAAGCCTTTTTACGTGCCTTACGAAAATAGAAATGGTAAGATCAAACAAAAGAAATGTAAATGCAGAATATTATAACGTCAGGACCAAAACGAAATTGAAATTCTAACAGCGTCCTTCAATTTTTACATTCCACTTACAGCAACGTAATAATGACAAAAATCCACTGAATCCATACACCTACTTGTTTTGCCTACATTTTCGTAATTCAATCAAAAATTTCAATTAAATAATTAAATTACTTTTTCCTTTAATTTAAATATATACAGGGTGGTTCATGTAGAAAAAATACAGAAGGACTAGATTCCAAACATTACAATAAGGTGCTTAAAATCGATAAATTGGAAAACACTTTCGTGACTGGTTAGTGAACTGCTGTTCTAATAAGCTTGACCGAATTTGAAGGCTAGCTTCCGGATTTGTTTTTTCCGAATTTTATAATGTGATTGGCATTAAAAACACGCTCACCTTCAACGAAATTTCCTTTCCAAGGCTTTGTGTCAGCCCAATCACATATTGTGTCAACTACGATAAATTTTCCCTAATCGGCGCCATGTTTTTAGGCTCCTCCCATTTGACGGATCCCAATCGTTTTCGAAGAAGAACTAAACAGTGTTTTCTTTTTTTCATTTTCAGGATATCATACATTCACTTACAACGAGACAGCTCATACGGAAAGGATTGCAGATGAAATACTGTCTGTTCGATATGAAGATGGTAAATGGTCAAAACCTTATTACGACTGTGGCGGTGGAAATATTTGGATGTTGACATATACTGTTCCATTCTTCGGATACAAGAACAACACATACTTCTTCAAGTAAGTTAAAGTTCCATTTCTGACCGAACCTCGTAACGAAATATTAGAACTAATAAAAAAAACAAACTCTCTGTTTACAAAGAAACTTTGAACGTTAGGGAACAAGAATAATAATGATAAATTATCAAGTCGCTTTCTAATATCTTGTCACACGAGAGCTTAGCTCTTGGTTTGTTGCCAAACCGCAACGCAACTCGCATTCTGTTATTGAACCAGAGTCATCATTCATACAGATTTTTATCACCAGTCAGATTTCTTATTCGTTTTTGAGCAGTTTGGAAAGTAATGTAACATGTTTTATTAACCACTGAACTGATTAATACCATCACAATTTACTAGTATCTATTCCTTCCTCGTTATACAAATGTTGAGGCATAAAACACATTAAATTATATTCGAATTAATTTTACCCACTAGAGATAACCTCAAATTAATAAGGAAAAAATATAGCTGCTGTCATTCCTCCGCCGGGATACGAACCCAGATCCATAAAATACTAGTGCGTAAAAGCAAGGATCCGACGAGGAACTGACGGCAGCAACAATTTTTCTTCATCAATTTAAGATTATTTGTAGTAAGTAAAGTTAATTAAAAAATTAATTAACTAATACAAGTTCAGGAACTTGCTATCAGTCATCTATCGCTGAAAATATAAAATGAAAATTTACAAACATCAACTGGTATAACTTTGTAAACTAATCTGATGTCTAGTTTGACGTTGTAATCATAATTTCCCCGGAGAAGATTATGTTATCTTTAGTGAAGTAAGAAAGTTTATATCCGTGATCTTTTTCTTTTCTTGGGGGATGATTGACTGATAATTCCCTTCCCGTATCGTAAATGCATTCTAGTCAGAGAAAAGCTGTTAGACTCGATCAATTGCAGTCAACTGCAGATAATCGACTTTTTCTAAGGCGGAGAGAACAAACAGAACAGAAAAGCACACTAGTTGCTTCAAAGATAAAGTCTTCAACTTAACTTAACTTATACCAGGAGCACGAAGGATTCTCGTCTAAATCGCAACTTTAAAAGATAATACGGGCAAAGACAATAATATATCCCCTTTTTTTGTAGTTGTATACATGCTGAAACTAATGATAAATCAAAGCTAATACTTCACTATTCTACTTCTTATAAATTCTTCATAAGTCTTTTCCTAAGCTGATTTTCGTATTACCGAAGGAACTAACAGGAAAAAGTAATTTCGTATATTCTTACAGAACTTACTATCCACTTTTCTTCAACAAATTCTTACTAAGTGTAGAATAGTTGAAAGTTTTGCAATCTCTCGTAAATCCTTCCTCCGCATACCAAGGATCTTACCAGTTCGTTCTGAGGCCCCAAAAAAAGCAATAAATCACTTTCTAACGGTGTGAATTTATTGTAGATCCTTAAAGAGCTCTGCTACAATCTCCCGAATATAAAAGATAGATTTCGTGTCCACTACAAATTTTCTATTTCAAGGGGAAATGGGGAAACCATACCTACATCTGGTGCCTCTGACCAATCACTTACTAAGAAATTACCCTTAAATCCTCTTCCTGCCGACAAAACAAATATTTTGTATCTATACACATATACAGCCGTTCAGCGTAAAGAAATTTGATTTATGACCGCCTGTGAAACCGGCGTAATTTTTAAGTAGCATTAAAGGAGCGCAATCGTAGATTCTATATGCTTCATGAAGGAGTCGAAATCTGAATGTAAAATATTAATTTATATTTCCTAACATGTGCATCGTTAATATTAAAATCAATTTACAAATTATATTTCAAAACGAAAAATTTTCGTTCGTTTTCATACACTAGAAATGGTCTTTCGGTATGAGCAGCGATCGCAATAACATTAAATCGGTGACCTAATGCTACCACACTTGTATAGAACGTGGTGACCTTAATGTATGTTGTAAAGTTTATTTGCAATTTAGCTAGAGTAGTCTAATGTGCATATACACTATACAATATACATGGGTTCTGAAACGGATCGAACTACTAGCCTGCTTTGGAGACCAGAATTGAATATAATCCGTTAATAAAATTTGACCAAGTTACGGCGGATTTATGTACATATCTAATAGGTACTAAAGCTTGCTCTACAATTGAGGGACATCTAACATAATGTACACGCGAAAGTAATATTATATCAACATTTTAATATTTCTTGATTATATGCTTAATTTTAAACAACAGTGAACATCAATATTGCAATTACAATAGTTAGCTTCAAAAATATTAAATCGTTATTTGTTCTTCGAATAATTCTCTATCCAAAAGCATACGAACATCAAAAGCGCTTCCGATCATTGTTTTAAAAACGAAATCATGCCGTTCCAATGGACTATATTTAACGTACGAATTAATTTATTGAACAAAAATAAAAAGGGTGTCTAGCAAAGAACAAAACTGAATTTTTCGAGATTGAAAAGAGAAAAACCAATGTGGAAATTCTTCACTCATTATTAATTAAACGTGCACACGATACAGAAAAACACCGCTGAATATCATTCGTAAAAAAACAATGTAACGGTAAGGGTCAAATTCATGAATTTTGTATTACTCTTTAAAAGAATAAAAAACTGCTGCATTTTGCGATCCTTTTGTCAGTTCTTTTGCGAATATTAAAGTTTAAGTTTAAATAAGATAATTCAATTAAGAACAGTACCTATGTTAAGTTATTTTTTAATATTTCAAAATTAATTGCCGCTGCTGAATTTCTTAAAAAACGGGACAGACTTTTCAATAACACTAAGTTCCTTTATTTCACTTCCCTTGATCTTTTTTAATTAAAAAAACCGCTTTTACTGAAAGGCAAAATGGAAATCTACTTATCGTTAGTAATTACAGAAAAAGCACAGTTTAATTTTGTATTAAAAAGTCAACAATTTATTCACAATAGTTTTTTAATATCAAACAATCATTTTTTTAATATACAACTATCTTCTAGTTAAAGAATAATTAAATGATTGCAATGTTTTATAAATAGCCAGAAACATGTTCAAAAACCTCCAAACTAGTAGACAACATTATTGCATTTGTTGTCTATTTTCCCTATTTTAAAAGCATTTCTTTGCAACTATTTCAGACGCAAATTTATAATAAATAAATGATGACGATGACAGTTGTGAACAAGATTAATCTTAAACACAATATTCTTGTCCCGTGTTTTTTCTTCAGTTTCCTACTGTTAATTATACGTCGCGACGCCCGCGTCGTATATTAGTTACACCTACAAAGTTTCCTTTGGATTCAACTACCTAGTTACCTAGAGCTATTTGTTAAACAAAACCTATGTACATATTATTGTTGTATTGTCCTGACGGGCACAGATGCGTTATTTAATGTTACTAACGAACTGTGTGGAGAACGAACAATTCAGCAAACTGCTACGAGAAATTCGCGTCTTGTTCTAGCTCAGAGCAAGACAACACTTTCCCGCCACAGAAATTAGTAACTTGCACGTTCAGTGGATATTTATTTACAAAGAGCGCATCATTATAACCAACGTAACTCACTTGCTTCCACTTCAAAGGCAAGCCTGACTAAATTATGCGGGCGTCTTTAGTGATAGCGATTTCAAGCAACACGTTTCAGGCAACACGTTGGCGTTGGTTTAGTTCTGTTAGGGCAAACTTCATGTCAACATTTGCAACGTCTTGGTTTTTGTTAATTGTTAATTTTGTTTCAATTCAAAATTGAAATTCCTAACTGCTAAAATTCAGTTCATCCCTTGGACAAAAAACTTGCTTAAATTCAAAGTTATAATTATATTATTGATGACGCTTAATGATCCTAGACAAAGTATATAGTATATACAACATGCAAATTATATAAACATTCTTAACAACATGTAGTTGCACATAGAAATTGCTGTATTGTAGCGAGCACGAGTGTGTTTGTATGCGATAAGGCACACGTGTGCGTGAACGGCTTATCGATTCGCCGCGGGCACCTTTCTTCATGTGCGCCGTATTTGTAAATGTGTGCGTTCTGGGAAAGCAGTTAAACAGTTCAAAGAAAAAGTAAACTATCCGGATGTTTCCAGAAGGTTCCAGAAAGTAAACAAAAGAGTATTTAAAGGAAGAGACGATCGCCGAGTGTGAAATAAATAGGGCAGTGAATAGTGATAACAGTAGTGTAAATAAATAGTTTTTGTCGTTATCAGTTAATTTTATTATACCCACGAAAATTACAATATGTAATTCCTGTAGATTAGTAGTTTCACTCACTATGCAAATGTATACTTAAACAGAATAGCTAGACCAGCAACGTTTTGAAAATGCTGTTATGTAGGTACAACATGAAGGAGGCAAACACAAGCACGTATTTATGTACATGCCAACGTAATAACTGGGCTGTGAATATATTCGATGATAATTGGAATATATGCAACGTATACGAATACATATGTTTACATTTGGAGTGAAGTTAGATTTCGTAATTGATACCGTTCAAATATAACGTTGGATATTGAACTGTACCGGTCAGTTTATGGAAAAAATTTTCGTCGAACTAAAATTTGATATATTCGCACTTACCAATGGTAGATCATGGGCACAGCTGATGACGAATTGCAAGCAAAGACACAAGATTAATGTTACTGTTTTCGTAATTTTCTATTTAAATTACAGCATAATTAATCACAAAAAAAAACATGAAATTTCAATTTCATCTCCTTGTTATATATTTACCTACCTGCTGGAAGGAATTTAAGACAAAGCAGGGTTGTAAAGTTTTTATTGCTTTGGCTTGAATTGCTTCCTAAAACAAGAAACGTGTATGTTATAAATAAGTTAAAACAATTTACGCGGAAAAAAATCGGTTCAGTAATATTTGAATTAAAATTTGAACTTCGAAAGTAAGAATCGCTGTTAAATATTGAAATGTAGTCAGCGGAATACAAATTGAAATTTTAAAAGGTAAAGAAAGATGTTCTGATGAGCTCTGATATTATTCAAACACAAGTTTATAAAAGAACGGATTTTAATTAACAAAAGGTGGGCT